ATAATGTTCTGCGGATGGGAGGATGATGCTTTAGCTTTGCTAACAAAGAAGAAGGTTGGTGTGTTGCTGCCGCGGTAGCTTTTATGTGCTGTGGCCATTCATAGTGATTTACCAGTAATTTTCTCTCCGAATCTCTCTTCCTTCCAATAGATTCCAGCTTTCTTTAATACAGAGTGCATTCTGATGGTACAACAGGCCTAATAGGATAATGGAACAAGATTAGCTTTGCTGTGTTTTTTCATGGAATTAATTCAAGGCTTAAATGTGGGAGAAGATGCTTTTTTTTCAAATCTGCAAAAATACAAGCAACAAATTCAGCTAGAACTCTGCTGGATTTTTTTGTTGTTGTTATTATTAGTACAGTTATTCTAGGTTATTAAAGAATAAAAAGCTATTGAAATCTGCCATTCGTGCCCCACAGGTATGCAGCCATGTGAATGGCTTTACTCACGTGGATAAAACCATGAGAAAAGGATGGGGCTTCTTATGCTATATAGGTATCAGTGTTTTTGTGACTGAGGTTCCAGATTATCCTTTAATTCCTGATGCAAGGGTGCATTCTTTCCCGTGTTTATTTTCATTTTTCAGTAGAGCTGAAGTTTGGTTACCACACTCCAGAGGACAGCTGGGGTCCTTTTCCAGACTGGATCCAGCCCGAGAGCGGTAGCCTTTAGTCAGATCCCCCTGTTTGTGCACAGGCATCAGGGCTGGATCGAGGTGATACCTTGAAGTTTCCCCTGGAGAGCCTAGTCTTCCTGCAGTCCCCACAAGCTGTTTTCCTGCCTTGGCCAGAGAGCTGTAGTGGGAGCTGTTGCCTCATCCGGGCAGGACACCTGGCAAGTTTTTGTTTTATTTCCAGCTGTGCCAGCACATTTTAGGAGCTTTTCCATCACCAGAATGAATCCTGTGATCTTACCACACATGGAAGGCTTAATAATAACTCAGTGCTGGTGAGGAACTATTTTGCTTATAAGGTAAAGAGAAAAAAATGCTTTAGAGTTTATGAGCTAGAGGAGATAGGAGAAGAACTCCGTGATTCCTGTATGCCCTTTGCTAGCATCTTAATGCTTGTGGTCAAAGAAGCTCTTTTGGCGCTGGAGAGAAAAAACTTTCCTGGTTTAGGAGAGAAAAGTAATATAAAAGTCCTCTGTACCAAATCTCGGTCCCCTCTGTGCCATGTACAAACCAGCCAACCTTTGTCGTGTAACAGGGTGGACGCTGCATTTTTCTCTACCATAGAAACTCTCTTAGCTTCATAGCTAAGTGCAATGTTACAGAGGGAGGCGTGTGAATATGGACTGATGAATTGCACTACACAGTAGGTAGGTAAGCACCAGACCAGAAGTGTGCTTTCCCTCTCGTGCTTTCGTCTGTTGGTAAACCTAGATTTTCTACAGCTTCTCCTTCTCAAAAATCTGGGTGGTACGGAAAGACAGGTTGCTTTTATTTGCGTATGCATACATGAGTTTGATCAATGAGTTTTATTACCAATTTAATACGTACATGAGCTTATGAAATCAATGATTTTATTACCAGTGCTATTTTGGTTGTATTTTGTGTATCTGCCACCTGTATGGTTTTTGCTTTTTTGTTCATTTTTGTATTGTGAGCTTTTTCCTCTGTGGCAGTACTGTCTTCTGTATTTGGGTGCTATTCTGTAGTTATGCTGATATAAAAAGCTTGTAGTGCATAAGGTTCAGATATTATTTCTCTGCCAAGTTTCCCGAAGTCAACGTTAAAATCAAGACAGTTGCCACAACCCTTTCATGGATATTTTTGGAGAGTTGTTTTCAGATTCATTTTTTCTACTAACTGGAGAGTAAAATATTTTGCTCTACTGTGAAATGGCAGGGGGACAATTTGTCTTCAGAATGAGAAAAATGTTCCACATTTCTTTAAAATAAAGAGTATTAGTGCCAATTCATTCTGGTACTTGATAGTCTGTTGTCATGAAATTGAAATAAAAAAGGTGCAATCTTAGGATGATATTTAAGAATAATTACCTATAAACATTTTACTCAAGAGTTTAAAAAATAACCTTTTTTTTTTTTTTTCTGTCAGGGCATTCTACTTGGACAAGTCAAACCTGCCTCCAAATTCAACATCTAAAGCTGCTTATATAGATAAGGTGAATAAAACTGTTAAGTAACTAATTAAGCTTTGCATTTTGCATGTTGCGTTACTCATTCTTTTCTTTGGCTTTCTTAATTCCGCTGAAAATTGCAAGTATTCAAAGGTGTGGGGAAAAAGGGACATGCTTGACAAATATAGTGATCAACCGCTGAGCCCTAAGCAGACTCAAATTTTACGTTGGTGTATTGCAGTGAGTGTTAACAGACTGATAGAGCCTGTGTCGAATCTGTGCTCGACTGCAAGGTCTCTCTGTAGGGAGTCACAACTTCATTTTCTAATCATTCACAGGTGCAACAGAAGAAATTTAGCTATATATGCAGCTCTTATTTCTCTGAAACCTGTTCCCTCTCTATTTTAGTGAAAAGGTCAGGGACAAGAAAAAAGCATCTGATAAATCAAATCTGACCAGGAGATGCTAGTGACCAATGCTGGTTTCATCTAATGCATCTTCCTTGTAACTGGAGTAAGAGCGAGTGCATGATCTCTGCTTGTGCCCTTGACTTTTGCTCTTTTCTCCTTACCTCTGTGGGAGTAAGTGGCACCAATTTAAATCGATTTAAATGTATGCTAGCTAAATCAATAGGAGCTAAACAAACTTTAATCTTTTTGTGTCCAGGTTTAAATCATTGTTATAATTGATTTACTTGATCTGCACACTTTCCAATCATGGTAAACATAAGAGCAAGCGAGGCTACTATTTCTCTAATTAGTTAAAACTGTCTTTAGAGCATGCTCTCTGTCTTTCAAATATTTCATTCTCTGATTTGTTTGTTGGTTTGTTTTCAATCTTTAAGTGTCTCTAGAATAAAGAGAAAGGGAATTTGGGATTAGGGGGTTCACCATACGAAACTGTATTGTGAACCTTTCTTTTGGATAAGTCACCACGAGGTGCTGCTTTTCATTCCTAAATTGTTCTTGAAGGTTGCTCTTCTGAGAGCCGCCTTCCACATGAAGCTGCCTTCTTACTTAAACTAGGTGGGTCATTTCAGTCTCTGTGTGGTCATGCTGAGGTTGTTTTGAGCTCTGCTACAGAGTTAACTGTTCTTGATTTGTAGTGTGTTATTGTTAGTACTGCCTGTTTTGCTTTTTGCAAGCTGTTATGCAAATAGACTGTTTCTAATCCTCACTAAAGAGAGGACACTATTTTCTGGTTCATAAGTTGGTTTTCTTAGAGAGCCATTTAACCTGGCCTGGCATCCCTTCTGCATATGCGTATGGGAGAGGGTTGTCTCTTGGTGGCTTCCTGTCTTTGGAAATAACATTAATAGGAACTTATTAATGGGCCTAGACAGTTTATTGAAGTGAAAAACACCTCTGTAGAGAATGAAATAGTCAGTGATAGCAACAATTCAAAAGTTAGGAGTTTTTTTTGTAAGTCATGTCACAGAAGACTGTATGCTTTGTATTTACATTACATTGGGGTATTTACATTAGTTTTTTTTTTTTCTCCCAGTCTCTCTGCATCTGTAGTGACCACAGATCACAACACATGTCGCTACCCTCAGGGAGCATTTTGTGTGCTCTTGGTAGCACATATTTCAATCTCTCTTTTCTGTCTTGCAGTTTATGAGACCTCTGAACTGCTTGGACGAACTTTACCGACTCATAGGGTCCTTCATCCGCTCGAAGCGCACGGCGGCCTGCGCGTACACTGCCTGCAGCGCCTCCGGCGTGGGGCTGCTCTCCGTGTCCTCCGAGCTCTGCAGCAGGCTCGGCGCCTGTCACATCATTATGTGCAACAGCGGCGTTCACCGGTACGACAGTTTCCTTCCCTCCCATTGTTCCAGTCAGTCTTTCAGACATCGCACTCCTGTTTGCCTGTTTTTTTGTTTTTTTTTTTTCTTTTTCGCTTTATTAAAATCACATGCTGTATTTTTGTGCATGTGAGTAAATGACTAATACGGTTAAAGGATTTGTGGTTAAATTCCAGAATTGTATTGGCTTTGATTGAGAAAAATGAGCAGCATGATTTCATTTTATATGGTTAGAATGGGCTGTTTCTCATTCAAGTCAGGAGAAGGCAGAAATCCTAATTGCTAAAGCAGATAAAGGAGGTTTCCTAGGTGAATAGCACACACTATATTAAGCTTGTGCTACAGTTCAAAAAATATTGTATTTTGTATGTAGAGAGAATCTTAAGAGAGCTTTTTTCAAGGAAAACAGGAAAAAAGAAGAGGTATGTGTTTTTGGAGGGGTAGTATACAGTAACTGGAAGTTCTGTATGTAGAACAGTATTGATGTCATTAATATAAGAGCAGGAAATGAACAGAGCTACATTCAACTGAGCTTTATTGAGCTTTATTGTTAAAATCACTAAGTAGTTTTAATAGGCACATACTCTCGTACATATCTGAGTGACAATAGAGAGTTCTCTAGTGTTGAATAATTTTTGTCAAAGATAGCAATATGTTTCAATTGGGTAGTGTATTTTTTTTGTACGTTATAGTGCATTATACCAAACAGGCAAAGACTACCATTGGGGAAAATAAAAAAGTAAAAGAAAAAAAACCGCAAAAATCTGATGTTAAAACACTATGTAAAACACTGTAAAAATTCCAAACTGTAAATTACAGATGGGCTGTAAAAATTGTGCCTTAGTTTCTGACCTTATGCAGATTTGTAATTTAGCAGACTTGTTCATCAGTATGTTACGCTAAAATGAACCTTGCCTTCTCTTAGGTAAGTCCCTTTCTTTAGAAGAGCTTTGGAACAGCACTGCACCATATACCGAGAGCAGATTGTAAGGCATGGAAAACAGGAAGAGCTCTGTATGTAGTCAGTGCAATAGAATAAGAGTGCCTGCCGTTTCTATCAGTAAAGACAGCAGCAGGCTGCTTGTAGTGCTCCCCATTATTGATACAGGTGTGTAGGATGTGCTGAATATGCTATTCTGTTTTAGGTAATAATATGAAAAGAGTGTGTTATCTAGTCACTGTGTTAGATGAAGATGGAAATACTATATAGCGTGGAGCAGCATGAAGTTCTCATTTTCAGAAAGCCATGAACTATACAGCTTTTCTCTGGCTTTTTATTTAGGTTCATAAGATGTCTTTATGATATAGAGAATCCTGCTTCCCAAATTGGAACTCTTGCTAATCCTTCTGGTCAAGAAAAAACAGTAATAGGCAGTACTTTTTCCTCTGCTGCTCACATAGGAAATAACAGCTTTGGTTTACCAAAGCCTGATTTCTGCTTATAAAAGTTGCTTTGGAAAGCAGTGAACAAGAATTTTGTGGAAAAAAACCCCATCAGCCTTATGCAATTCCAACAAAACAAAGAAATCACTCAGAGTGATCTACTCTCAAGAATATTAATCACTATTTCCTCAAAAATCTGTGCTTTTGGGAAGGAATTCCTTATTCATGAGTACTCTTCTGAAGACTTTACTGTGTTGAAGCAAGCAAAGTTGTGTTTCTAACATGATGAGAAAAGATTTTGGGCTTCATTCTGTCATTCTATAGAAAGCAGAAAAGGACTTCTTTTGTATTTCTTAATGACTTCATAGAGTAAATTCTGAGTTTTCCAATATACCTGTGCCAGAAAACATACCTATGCCAGAAAACACTATTCTTTTTTAAGAAAAGAATCAGAACAGCTTTAATATTCCCCCCAAACTATGACCCTACAATGAAGAGGTCACAAATTATTCAGAATAATCTGGTGACTGAAGAGGAAGCAACATGCATGAACTGTTTCTACAATGGAATGGAATTCATGAGATTTTTTGCTAATTCCAATATATAAACTATTAAGTATCTAAATAATTATATTTTAAAACCACTAAATTTTAGAAAGCCAATGTGACTATTCTGTGAATAATGGGAAGTGGATGGGTCGTGTATGGGCTTCTATCTGGATGTTAAAGGACTGAAGACTGACTATTTATAAACGAAAATGTGCAAAGCCTTTTTCTGTAAAAGCATGATTGTCGTCCTGCAGGCTTTGAATGGAGGCCATTTGAGCTTTTGTATAAGATACCTTTATTTCACTTGTCCATTAACACTGCCTTTGTGGCTACCCTCTGTTCAAAGAAACATCAGCTTTTAGTGCCATCAAAGATAATTTAGCATAGTTTCTCTAGGAAAGAGAAATGCATTACACACAATTTTATATGTACCCAAGGAGCTTTTGCCCTGAATTTCTGAAAGGTAAGAGAAAAAAAAAACTGATGGATGAAAAAGTCTCTTCTTGGACTGCTATGCCATAAACCTCACCATACTTTGTTTTCACTTTCTGGCCTCTCACAGGTCATCTCTACACTCGAGCACTAAATAGGCTCTGCTTTTTGGCATTCTGAAATTGCCTTTGCCAAGACAGAAAACTTTTTTTGTCTCCAAATAACAGCAGGATTTTTGTTACTGACCAAATTCCTATACTAAGTTCTGCTGTGCTTTTTGGGAACCTGCTCTCCTTGTGACTTCATAGAGAGCATCTGTCTTGCAGCATCATGAAATCCTGTGAGGAAGAAGTCCTATAGGCAAAAATCATTTCCCCTGTTGCCTTCTGCTTCTCTGATGGACTATTGTTTAATCAGAGGAGAGAATCATGCATAAAAATGGTCTTAAAATTCATAAGTGAGATCTTCAGGGTTCACGCTACTGATTTGCAGTCAGAGGGAATATTTGACATTCAGCAATGTATCTTCTGTGCCTTCTGTGTTCTTAGAAATTAAACACTCCTAGAGCTGTCAAGTACTTGATTGAGATCAGTTGTGGAAATCCAGTTTTTGTAAGCTGAGACCAAGGACTTGCGACTGACTGTTTTTGATACCAGGTTACAGAAATGAAATGAGTTGAAAACTTCTTTCCCTGTACTACCAGAAAAGCAGGTGGGGGAAAGATGTGAATTGTGCTTGCAGGTTACTTTTGAAAGTATATTCTTCATTTATGAGTTTTCCATCTTAAAAAATAGAGAGAGGGCTCAGAACAAAGTTTGTACATGCTTTGACTTTAATTAATATTAGCCTAATTTCTACAATTCCTCTGTAATGGAGGAGAATTTATGAGAGTCTGTGGAAGAGTTCAGACTGCTTTGCTGGTCAGTCTCTTCCTTTTGTTCTTGGGGAGTGGGAACAGAGCAAACCATTAATCTGTCATAATTTAAATATATATGTACACTTTTGTTTAAAGTATGTTAACTTTGAACTTTCTCTCACAACCTTTTTGTGTTTTCCCTGCCTGCGCATCATGGATTGAGAATGGGAATTTCTGCCACCCTTCTCTCTTTCTATCTGGAAGCAAGTAGCAAAGAGCCTGGGAGGGAGACCCTGGGTGGCAGTTCCAATGCAGAAGCAGCAGAGAATTATGAGACAGCAGCTTTGTCTGCACTGACAGTGGTTGCTGAGCTCAGGATCAGCAATGTTTTGATTTCTGACTTCTCTGTGATCCATATTAAATTGCTTTTTACACTGCACTAGGCTAAAACAGCTTGACAGAGTTCATATTTTCATCCTTATATCCAGGATAATACTGTGGATTTTGAATTGCTAGTGATTATTTTGCTTTGATTTTTATGAGGACAATATGTTTACCAATTTGCATTAGAGCCTGAAATCCTGTATCTATTTCAGACAGCAGTTCTTTTCAAATATATCTGAATCAGAGGAAAATAAGTTCTTTAACCTTCACTGTCCTAAGTGACATGTGAATGCTACAAACTCCCCTTGGATTACCATAAGTGAACATGCCTTGTTGATCAACATCAGGAAGAGAACTCAGAATTAGTCCAAAATCAATAGTTTGCAGTTCTGTGTTGCCTTTTCCATCATCCATAATTATATTTCTACCTGCCAATCAACTGTCACCGATAAACAATACCGTGTTTTTTTCTGCTGCCTGTTTCCTTGCCTAATTTTATTCTGTTTGAAGGTGCAATCAGTCTGTACAAATCTAAGTGATGAAAGGCACTTTTAAATTTTATTGAATCATGATGCTAGCTCCTGCTTGAGAGAAGAGAGAGACTGCATTGCACAAACAGGCCTTAGCCTATTTCCATGCCAAAATGAAATTAGGTGCAGCAGCTGCAGAAGTCTATTCAGGGACCATAAGCCTCACAGGCTCAAAGGAATCATTTAAAGCATCCAAATAAAACAAATCCCAAGTTTATTTAAAATTTTGCATTTCCTGGAGGATTGAGAGAAGAGAGGTCCTTTATAATCTTGATGAACCCCAGGAAAATAACTGTCTTATTTTCTTTTCTGAATTTTAATTTCCCCTCCTGGAAGTCTCTCCTGACTGTTACCATCCTTCAAGCAGCGGGGTTCTGGCTGGCAGACACGCCGCTGAATGCTAAGGTAGATTTTGCTAAGGGTTGATGATGCTGCCTCCTGCAGCTGGCGCAGCTCCTGAGCCCGACTAAACCTGTCGCCATCTTCCACACAGCAGCGCAGGGTGATGCTGGAAGCTATCGGTCATGCCCGGCTCCCGTTCCGGAGAAATTGAGTTGATAAAATTGCTGCAAGAAAATCTACCCGAGGATTTGCAACTGGGCCTCAGATTAGACATTCAGTAATTAGGCTTTGTGGGACCAATGTGAGCACTAACAGGCTTTGTAGGCTGAATCCTTGGTCCTCCCTGGTCTTCTCATCTAACCTTTGCTTTTGGTTTTACAACCGTCTCCTTTAGTCAAGATTCCCTTCTTTTCTTCTAAATTAAGTTTTGTTACATCTCTTTCCGGTTAGTGTATTTTTATGGTCCATAAAATAATATAGGATAGTGTTGATTACTACGCGAGAACACATAATTGTTAAATATGT